GAACCTATCAATGTAAACCAGGTGTTATAATTAAACACCATACAGAAAAGCCATTAGCAAATCTAGCAGCAAGATTTTTAACCTGACATGGTCTAACTTTTCATTTATAAGTAGGTTCCTGTCTTCTGTTGCTATAGCAATCAACTAGACATGCAAAACATATAACTTACACATAGTTCATCATTTTGTGCACAAATCCAGTGGCTATTTCCATACTGGACATTGTCTACCTGCAGCTAATTGCACTGCTGATGGCTAATAATGACTGACAGTGATGCAGACTGCTAGATTCCTTTAGACTACTTTCAAATGTTCTCATCTTATTTGAAAAAACAGCCTCTAAAATGCCATTTGACATTGCAGCTGGCCTTGAGTTATCTACAGCAGGCTGTGCAATTTATAACTCACATGTGGAATGTGATTAAAAAAAAAAAAAGTCAAATTTGGTTTGGATGTCCTTAGCTTTGGAGGCACAGTGAGCTACTGACCTCTAGTTGAGAAAAACAAGATAGCTATTAGCTTTGGTCCTTTTTCTAAAATATATTTTCTTCCTGACTGCCAGCCTGGAATGTAATTTATTTTGCTTCTTGAAGACAACAGGAAAAGCTTTCATATTTTCCAGGCAACACATTCAAACTATTTAAAATGAATGAGAAAGGCTTCATTTTTTAAAGACATGCTTTTTTTTCCTCCAGTACCTTTTAATCTGCATTCACAGAAGTTCAGCACTGATGTGAACTCAAATGACTGGCTGTTAAAATAGCAGAAGCCAAACAAGGGCTGCAGGAGCTACTGTTCTTGGAACAGCTTTTCCATTTGAAATGGTGCAAAGAAGAAAACTGAACACCATATTTTCTTCTGTTTGAAACAACTAATTTGTTGCCGATTTATCAAAGGTACAGGCTGCACATAGTGCACTTGTGAATACAAGATACCAATATTTTTTTCCTTTGTAAAATAATTTCACAAATGATGAAGAGGAAGAAGTTCATAGCTTCAAGAATTCACTGAGATCCACTGATACATTAGGACACATCCTGTAAACTGCTGAACAGTGAGATGTTCAGTACCAGGCAGGATTAAGCTCTCAGCTCTTACTTCAATGCATTTTAAAGTCACAATATTAATCTGCAAATCATTATTACCACCCTACCAGTATCTCCATAATTTCTGTGTCTAAGACATTCTTTTTATCTTTGCTTTTCCAGAATGTAAAATGACACATTTTGTTAGGACTTTAAAAGCAGTTATTTTGCTTTTATCCTGTCTTCCTTTCCCTGAAAGTTTTTGGAACCATCTTTCTCCTAAATTATTGGATGATTGTACAAGGATCACAGGATGAGTATCAGCTGAATAAATCACCTGCATAAGAAATAAGAAATCTATCTACTCTATCCTTCATAGAAGAAATCAAGGTGTTCAGTTAATACATCGAATGAATGATGGTAAATTATGAATAATTTATGCTTGCTGCTTTTGATAGTTGCCAGCATCTATCTTTTATCTCCCTTCTGTATCTCCAGGGGACAGAAGAAACCTTTCATGAAAGTTCCACTTTGCTGTGAAAACACGGTTTCTTCTACAGTGTTCTTGCATTTTGGGCCAAATCTTGTATCTTAACTTAAGCTAAGGAAATTGTCGATCCTGTGCAAAGATGTTACTATCAGACAGGACCAATGACGCTATTTCTTTTCTGCTCCCCATGGATGAGGCACAGCATTGCTTTTTCTTTGGCTATTTTTATTTTTCATTTATATTTTTGTTCCAGCCAGTATTGCTGGTGCTATACACATCCAGTGGGTAAATCCCATCAGAGCATACTGCATCGACACATATCTAGCTGGAGTGGTAATGAAGGGTTTAGTGTCAAACTGGAAGGTTTTACTGGATGACGCTCCATGCCTTTGGCCAAATGCAATTTATGTATTCTCAGTAATGAAATGGATGATAGAAATAGATTTGCCTGTTAAAAGTGCAGATGTGGCCAGGCTTTTCCCATTTTCAACAGTGGGATCAAAATTGGAGTGGTCCAAGAGTGGTCTTGACAAATTGGAGAAATGTGCAGAAGATCAGTGGTGCAATTTCATAATAATGAGTAGCAAGCCAAACCTTAGGAAGTCATAACCAATGTCACAGGTACAATATGGAGAATGATGGAGCATGCAGTAGTTCTGTGCTAAAGATTGCAGCACTACAACAAGCTTGGGAAACCACACTTCAGGAAGATCTGGTCCAAGCAGAATGATCTGAGGTTAAGAAAACATACCCTTTGAGGAAAGACTGAAAGAACGAAGATTATTTTTTCCCCAGGAAGAAATTGAGAAGAAATAAGTTAACATGTTTCAACCAAAACAAACCACCTGAAAAGAGGAAGATAAAATCATGATTTTGTGTCCTCTGAGAACAGGGTGGATGTACTGCAGGGGGGGGGATAAGCAACCTTTCCACCTTTAAGGATATTTAAACACTGGAATAGGCTGCTTGTATAGTAGAATTTTTATCACTAGCTGTTTCTACAAGCATTTTAAATAATAATCTGATGGAGAATGGTGCAGGATATGAGCATTGTATGAGGTGAAGGACAAGTGAATTAATTAAGCCTTAGTTCTAACAAAGAACTGTTTGCGCCTACTCCTAGGGCGTCAGGAAGTGACTTGGGGGTTGTTGAATCCCATTTTCTGCTGAGAAGACCTCAGAAGGGATGGGAGGACAGGAGCATAGTCTCTTCATAGGTCAAGAGATGTATGTTTAGGTGCTGTCTTGAGATCCTTTCCAGTCCTACCTCCTATAAAGTTTTGCCAAGTTCACTAACCGACAGCTAGCATTTCTGGAATGTCAGACTCTGCCATCAGACGTTTGACTTCTCCAGACTTTTGTCATATGGGAAAAATTAAAAATAGTAAAGATATTTTGGATTAATGTTTATGTATCAAATACTGAGGTCTAGACTCATATCAAGTGATCTTGTTTGTTTATTTCATGCAAATTTAAATTAAGAATTTATAACTTCTGATTTCCAGCTAAGTGTATTTGATCTCACTCTGCTTTTAATTGGTCTTGATTTGTTAAAGAATCATAATACGATGCATCTATTTTATTCTTAGGGATGTTAATTAATACAGGATGTGAGATGTTTTAATAGGACAATGATTAAGAGTTTTCCATTCCTCCTAACGGACTATGCATGTAACAATTAACAATCCAGCAGACAATAAAAACAAAAAGAATTTAATTGCCTTGGCAGATGTTATAAACAAGTGTAGATTGGAACAGTGCTGTTAAGTGAGAGTGCATTTTCTTTTAGATTTGCTTGTGACTGTTACTGTGTTTCTCACCGGAGACTTGACCACATGTTCATTCCCTTTTTCAGTAAAATGAATGCAACAGTTTGCTAATAGAAGTTTGGCTTGGAGAAGACATTTCTTTCACAGTAGATCTTTTGCTTCTGTTTTTAAATGCCAGGGGTTTAAAATGGGATGTGTACAAAGTACTGAAGTGACTATCTGTCATTTATATTGAATGCATTTATGGTACATCTATGAGAGCTGAGTTGTTTGTTTCCAATTTTTATCTGACAACCAATTATACTAGACATATCCATAATCATTGGTGTCAGGACTGTCTCAGTTGGATGGCTAAAACAGCTGATTTTGTTTTCTTATCTAAAATCCTTTAGAAGTTTGTTGGGAAAAATCTGGGTGCAGGATAAAACCACAGTGAAGTGCCATTTGGCTTTTAAGAGTGGAACTTTATAGTGTCATCTTTGAATAATAATCTCACAAACATAACATGTCTATGCAGACACACAAATACAGTTATGTACATATTTAATACAGTAATTTAGGACACCCTCCCCTAATAAATGGGTGTACATTTGTTCATTCATTTAAAATCAGTGAAATTTAAGAGATGCAGTTGTCTAACCCCTCATCAATAGATCCACCTGTACTCATACAACACATATCAATACATATCAAAAGCTTCCTCATTACTTAAAAAAAAATAAAATTAATTGACCTATATGAAGGGTATTATTTTTTTACTGAAGAATTTTTGTTTATTCTAAGAAAAATAAGTACAAGTGGGAATATTTATCACCCCAAATACAGATGTTAAAAACATCTCATTTGAGACATGCGTAATCAGACATATTAGCCATCTGGTATTTTTATTAATGTATCTTTTGTTTCAATCAGACATAATCCCACTAAGATATTTAATAAATAATTCACATTTTGTCAGCTTGGTTAACGTTTCCCTTAAGCAATGCATATGCTGTAATCTCTTTCTTAACAGATGATATTACCAATTCAGGTATTTGCGGTATAAAAGTGTTACAAAGTTTAAAGAAAAGATATAATGAATAATATCCTAAATAATAACAGAAAAGCTAAATGCTTCCAGGTAAGTCATCCAGAAAACCTACATTTTCTCTAGGCCTCTCATTAAACATTTGCAATGGAAGTTGTGAAACTTTTAATCTTTTGTATTCATTTAATAATGTAATAAAAATAATCTTTCCATTGGGTATTTGAAACCCTAGTGATTAATTTCCAGGGAAAAAAACATCAATCCAAAATGGCTAGGTAATGAGGTGCCCTAAAGATGTGCTTTACAGAAAATTACAGAAAATAGTGCGTTCTTATCAAAATATGCACTGCGACACTGTTTTTGAATATACAAATAAACTGCTATTTATATACCTTCTCCTCTAGAGTTAAAGGAAGAAATAATTCCAATAAATGGAGAACTGTAAAGTTTTATGTCCCATATTTAATAGCGTTAAATCAGCTGCATTGCACTGATAGGTATGATATTACTGCATTGTGAATGTCATGACTGTCTTTTATTCACCTTGACTTTTACCTGTGGGATCCTATGCATATGGAACCCTATAGAGCATGCAGCATGCAATAATCTACAGGCTTCCAGCACTGGAGTTACTACAAATATAGTCCTCTGTAAATGCAAGCAAAATATCAATTTTCTCTTTGCATTACCTTATCTTTCTTTTGTTTTTCATCTTGGTATATGATCCAGTGCTCTCCATCATTACTATAAGCAAGCTTGTAGGACCCCACAAATTGGACGTGACCAAAATCTTTAGCTCCTTGGGTAATTATGCCAGTGATTTTTGTAGGCACAAGCAGATCAACCTAAACAAAACAAAACAGAAATAAAACAAAACACAGGTAATTAGAACAGTTTCTCTTTGCAGTGTGACTTTACACCACACCAAAGTGAAATGGTGCAGCATGTCACATGTTTGCAGACAATACTTGGATGCAGGCAGGAAAACCCAGGGTTGTTAAGAAGCCCCTTAGTGCACGGTGAGAGAAGACCCAGTCCAAGAGGTGGCTTTGCACTGTTTTGCAACCATGCCCACTGCATGCTGACACCATAGACAGTAACTTTCCTTCTCCAAGCTCCAAGTTAATTTACTTTTGTTTTCTGTTACTTATTGTTTATACCACCTAATGACACAACATGGCTAACCTTTGTACCATTTTCCATTGTGCTAGGTGCCGTATGCGGTCCCAACAAAACAGCAGACTCCACTACAAATAATTTGTAGCCAAAAAGTGTTCCCATGTATTCCTAATAATTGGAATACAGTATGCCAGAGGCTGATTCCCCAAGTGCTTTTCCATTTTCTTTGCAGTAACAGTTTCTTTTAAAACATTTGCTATCACACTTCTTTTCCTTAATCTTATCACAAGACTTTTAAAAATGCAAGGCAGGAATCTCAAAGCCTAATAAAATCTGAGCTTTCAAGTGGCTTTCACGTGGGTCAGCAAATCTGTGATCAGTTCTTTTGAACCAGAACCCAACACTGAATATAACAGATTCGGGCCAGATGCCTTGGATTAAAGTGATCAAGGAACAGAATACAATAACAGAAGTAAATTGACCTAATAATGTATTTTTAGGGGAAAAATGGAGGAGTTGAATTCCCTATCAAAATTGACATTTTGTTGAAACGTGAAGGCAACACTGAGGCTTCATTCTGTGTCCTTCAGCAATGCGGCAAGCCAGTAAAAAAAAAAAGAAAAAAGGTAGATTTATTTCATACAATCAATGGCTGTGAAACAGTTGACATTTTTAATATTGTCCGTTAAATCAGGCAAGAGAGACTAATAGTAAAAATATTACAGTAAAATGAGAGGAGTGCTGAACTCCATGAGAAGATGAGCGATATGTTTTTACAACAAAAAAAATAAAAAAAGAAGGTGAAGAAATAAAGAATCTCTGGCTGGTCAAATGCTTCAGATCCAGTGTGGCGATTTTGGGAAGCTGAGGCCCCCTAAGCAAACTAGATTTTGACTGGAATGTGGGGCAACACAGAAGGACAGATGTGATACAAAGCATAAAAAATTAATCATGAGAAAAGAAGGAAAAATAAACAAGTTTAAGAAGTCAGCTTGTCCAAGCTGATGCCTTTGAAAGACGGACAGTACAGTTTGGACTCTACAAAGAAGAAAACACAGAAAAGTGTAAGACTATATTTATAAGGAAAGAAGAAGAAAAATGACTCTTTAGAGCAATCAGACAAGGAAGACTGGAGACCCTTGCCCCAGCATTTGAGGACAGGTAGCAAATAATGAGTAGCAAGTCCTTTTAAGAAAAGGAATGACTTAAAAACTTCAGTATTGAGATACTATGACCCTAAGTGGAATATGGCATTGTCCACAGATGGCCCAAGAGTTTTGGTTGTACCAGAATGAACTAATTTATTGCCATCTGATAGCAGCAATATTGCTCAGAGGAGCATCCCAGAATATGAGGGAAGTACCCTTGGGAGGCAAAAATCTTTTTGTTTTCTCTTTGGTCAATGGAGAGAGAGAGGGACTCAATCAGCGGTCACTCAGAGCAGGAGTCCGCTTTGGATGCTCTCATGGACTGCTTGAAGGGACCTTTTTCTTCTGTAAGGAGAGCAGGGGGCCTTGCTTCTATAGCCTATGTGGGCCTCCGGGAAATGAACACTGCTAATTAGTATAAGTCTTTCACAAATTAATAAACACCATTTCTCCAGACCTTGCTTCCAAATATTTTGGCGTCTAAATGAATAGTCTGTTTTTCAAAAAGGCTGATCTGGTAAGGAATCACTAATTGGTCCACACTTCCAGGCAGCATTTGAACTAAACATTTCAGAGACAACTTTAGATTCTCTTTATAAATAATTTTAACATTAGCATTTTCCAAGTGTAACCTCTTCTTAGCAGAGAATGCTTCTTATACTAAAAGTTAATGTCTCTCCTGTTAACTTGAAAAAATGCCTACATAAAAAAAAGTTTATTTTTAAAATGTTGAAAGTAATCTAAAAAGCTTTCACAAATATTTAACATGGCCATGACACTTAGAGTATTTCTCACTGAAATTCAGAACAGGGACAAAAAGTTCTTATTAAGATTCAGGGGATTTCAAAGGTAAAATCACAGTAAATCTTTATTATCACACAGATCCAGTGTTAATAAAAATGCCCTAGTAACAATTGTTTTGTGCTTATAGGACATTTCCAGTGGCCTTGTGCACTTGCTCAGAAAAATGGTGTGGAAAGCTGAAAGGTCATTTGGCATATGTTCAGTCTTTTTCTGAAAGACTTACATAGTACTATGTAGAATATGTGTGTGTGTTTGTGTGTGTGTATCATATTTAAAACAATGAAAAAAAAAAAGAAGTAATGAATAGACAGATTCTTTCCTAGTTCTTGATAATACAGACAATACATGTTGCTGGAGATGGAGGAAAAGAATAAAAGGATGTAGCACCAGCATCTCCTTCTCATACTTTAGTATCTTATTATTTACTTATTTATTCATAAGTTGATGAGAAGCCTTCAGGCAATTAAGATTGCTATTAACCTAGCATTGAAGAAATATAGATTTTACTCTGTTGTTTTATTACCTTCTGCAAAGGGTTAACACCCTTGCTTTTCATTCTTCCTATTGAAAGTACTTTAGAGCAGAAAGGTGAGAAGAATTTACCCCAATTTCTAGGCAAAACATCTACATTTAAATAGTTTAAATGCAAGTCATAACTTTGCATCAGGATGCAGAACACTTTTATTCAGTTAGTGCAGATTGCAAGTAATAGGCAATCCAACAAATTACCAGGGAGAGAAGCTGAATTAATGCACAACCACTGTGTACTCTTGTGCTGGTTTTGGCTGGGATAGAGTTAATTTTTTCCATATTAATTTGTATGGGACTATGTTTTGGATTTGTGCTGAAATCAGTGTTGATAATACAGGGCTGTTTTCATTATTGCTGAGCAGTGCTTACACAGAGTCAAGGCCTTTTCTGCTTCTCACACCACGCAACCAGTGAGTAGGCTGGGGTTGCACAAGAAGCTGGGAGGAGACACAGCTGGGACAGCTGACCCCAACTGACCAAAGGGATATCCCATACCATATGACGTCATGCTCAGCAATAAAAGCTGGGGGAAGAAGAAGGAAGGGGGAGACATTCAAAGTGATGGCCTTTGTCTTCCCAAGTCACCATTACGCATGATGAAGGCCTGCTTTCCTGGAGATAGCTGAACACGTGCCTGCTGATGTCAAGTAGTGAATGAACTCCTCCTTTTGCTTTGCTTGTGTATGCAGCTTTTACTTGAGCTATTAACCTGTCTTTCCCTCAACCTACGAGTCTTCTCACTTTTACTCTTC